GGACAGGTAAATAAGGAGCAATGATTTGGTTAAAAAATCTAAAGGAGAAACTGACAATTGGCATTATACACATACTTGGCAGTTAGTGTAGTCACTGTGTGTTGTAGGCCACTTTTCTGCAAAATAGACCTCACTAAATTTTTTACCCTTGTTACGGCCCTGATCAGTACTAAGAGAATTAATAGTTTGATCATTCCTTTAAAAGAGCTCAGTAACAACAGTATCAGTTATTAAGAGATTAATAACTGATCATCACACTGATTTATTAGTCTAGACAGGCTTTAGTCAGAGCCCTAGTGTTTGTAAATAGGCCATTAACTGAGTCTCTCTTTGGAGTTCATCTAACCAGCATGTTTGCTACATGTTGTGTGCTGATTCTGAAATAGTGAACCCCTTGTAATCTTTATTTATTATATACTAAGGTTTATTATTCAGCAACTACAGGTTATCCTTAGGTTATAGAAGTGTTTAATAAAACTTTGGGCCTGCCGGTGGGCCCTGGTCATTTAAGGAATTAATACACAAGCATTGATGGTTCTTTTAAATATTGTATGTTTTTTATTTAGTGGGTAAGTTTTATAGTTTTGTCCTAAAAATATAAAAAGTAACTGTAGTCTGAATATTGCTTTTACAACTTGGACTGAATACAGATACTTAATTTTTTTATTCTGAAGATGTATTCAGAATACAATATATATATTGTATTATATATGACATTATATATGATATATGACATTAATGGAGTTACAATTTTTTTTTCAGCCAATAGATTCATTTTATCTTAAAATGACTGAAATTTTCTAACTCAAAACTTAATTTTTCTGGGTCTCAGGAATATATATATATATATATATATATATATATATATATATATATATATATATATATATATGTGAGTGTGTGTGTGTGTGTGTGTATGTGTGTGTGTGTGTGTGTGTGTGTGTGTGTGTGTGTTTTCACACACACACACACACACACACACACACAGACAATGTCGTGTTGTCTACTATAAAGGACATTACATAAAAAATAAATAAAAAGTGTTTTTGAAAAAAAATCACTGTGACAAGTTTTTTCAGACTAAATGTTCGATTCAGTGAATCGGTTCGACGATTTATTGAAAGAACCGATTCAAAATGAAAGATTCGCTCACGAGTGTGACATCGCTGCGGTCTCAAAACAAACACACGACTTATGAAACACGAAGATCCTCACTTTATACGGTTTAATGCAGTCGCAACCTCAAATAAATGCAGCTTTTGTAAGTCTAATCCAAACAGATGACAAGGAACACAATCGGCAACTTTGACGTTTGTAGCCACGCTATAAACTGATGAACTAAATTCACGCGCTCTTTCACTTGATGAAGTTTCTCATATTAGACGACTGGACATTTTCAGGACTATACATACAATCCTCCTTATTCCTTTTGGGTGGCTGTAAAGGCACAGGTGGACAAAAATAAAAGTGTATCCTACACTTATAAGCTCATTGTCTTTTATTCGTTATGTATTGTGATTTATTTTGTTGTCCTTCACTGAATTTCAGACAGTTAATGAACTCCGTCCCACTGAGATGTTTTTTTTTATTTATTTATTTTTTCACAGCCCTGAATTCGCGCTGGGGGGAATCGGAGAAGAAGGGCGGTAAAGCCAGTATACAGACATCTGCTAAAGCCTAATAAAGCTGTGGGCATTCATGGCTTCTGCTGCCACATTTTGTTGGTCTCTAATTTGATAAGGTTACAAAGTAGTATAAACAGAGGTTATAAATGTGTTCCACGGCCGTATATTTCACAGATTAACAATGAAAACAAAGAGAAAAGGGGGACACAACAACAACCCCGGCGGGGTTTAACCCTTTAATGCCCATATATGAAATATTCTGGTGACACCGAGGAACCCATGTTTTATGACTTAGTTGACTTAAATCTATTATTTTTTGCGTGGTCCTCTGGCTTTTCAACAAAACTACAGAAATTAGACATTAATTGAACGAGCAAGAATAATACATTCTTACAAAAAGATGGATCTTCAAGGGTTCTTTAATAACGGGAATGGCTCTATTTAGAACCATGAGTCCTACATAGAACCTTCTGCGTGCTTAAATGGTTCTTTGCATGGTGAAAAGGTTCTTCAGATTGATGGAAAATGTGTTGCATACGGTTCTAAGTAGAACCTGTCTGAAAATGGTTCTATATAGCAACAAAACGGGTTATGCTATTGTTGTTATGTCAAGCTCGTGACAATAGAACTCTTTGTGGTGCTGCATAGAAGTATATACAACACGTTCTCCATCAGTCTGAATAACTATTTCTCCATGCAAATACCCATTTAAGTATGCAGATGGTTCTATGTAGGACTCGTGGTTCTAAATAGACCAAATCCCTTTACTTAAGAACCCTTGAAGAACCATCTTTTTAAGAGTGAAACAGTACGTCAGAATAGTGCACCACCATCAGATGTGAGCGCACTGGTGTATAGCGCGTGCAGTGGGCTGTATGTGCTGTAGCAGGTGGTTCTAGACGTTCATTCAGCACCTCAGTAGTTTGCTGTGTCCTCAAAGTTTGGAAAACACCCGGAGTGTCCAGGGCGCGCGTGAGAGAGAGAGAGGGAGAGAGAGAGAGAGCGCACAACTTTGGGGAATAAAGGCTTAAGCTGCCAATCGCGTGCGGCGCTCGGAGGTGATAACCATTAGCGGCGGGGAGAGAGCGCGCGGACACACAGCAACAGCCGCCCCGCTCGTGACGTGGGAGGCGCGTCTGCTCGCGAGCTCCTGGAAACAGTACGTGAGCCTCCTATTCGCTAAAAGCTCGCACGCGTCCCACTCGCGCTGTTGCTAGGCAATACCCCGCACGCTCCGCGCCGCGCCGCGCGTGTCGAGGCGCTTGAAAACACTCCCAGGTTCTTGTGGAAGAGTTGATCAGCATGCTAACGAGATGATCCGTCCTCAGGTCGCAGCGGCGGGCCGCGAGTCACAGGTCAATCTCAACTGGTCCTCACCACTCCACCTCACACGGGCCAGAAAAAGCGCAGGAGCGCGAGCGCGCGTTCACACCTGCCAAGACTCTTAAAACTCCTTAAAGGGGAGTTCCACCCGTTTTTTAAAAAGTCTGCATAATCCAATAGTTGAGATATAAATGAAGTCATCCGGAGTGGTTTGATGTGAAATAATTCATTTGTAGAGAAATTTACAGACTCGGATTTCTTTACAGTGGTGGTGATGGGAACCAGAAGTCACGATGTCTACAACACAAATGTAGCCATTTAATTTACTATCCAAAACCACCAGTGAACTTACATGTATCCCTCCATCATGAACAGATTAAAATAAATTGATTAAATGTGCCAGACGTCAGGCTGAGTATTCATAGCAATGTCTCGTGACGACTTTATGTGAGAGAGCTTTTAGAAGTGGACGTCTGGTTCCTATCATCACCACTGTGGAGAATTCTGACTCTGGAAGTTTCTCTAGAACCGAGCATTTCACACCAAACCACTCTGACTGGCTTTCTTCACATCTTAACCATTTAATTCTGCATCTTAACTATTTAATTCAGAAATTTCTGGGGTTTCCCTTCAAATTTCAAATCAGGACGATAATACAGCACCGTCGAAGGAACGCACGTGCTCAGTTATTTGTTTGAAGAAGTTTAAACAATGTTGAGACAATACAGCTCAGTTTTCCCATGGGATGAAAGTGACCCCATTCACTCCTGCTGGAAAGATAACATCTGCCTCCGTGTGACTCGACCGCTTTATCTTTATGAGGGCAGAGATAGTTAATATGTCGGAGAGGTGTGTCTGGTACAGAAAAGCACAGTCACAGCAACTTTTAAAGAATATGGAACTTTGTCTTCAGTTTGTCAACAGGAAAATCAGTATTTGACATGTATATTCTCTCTATGAATTTGAGGTGAGGCACGAGGTAGAGAATCACTAAGGTGAACGGCGCCCCAGTGTAATAATGTCCATATCTGAAATACTCCTCTATACGTTCGCTGAGTTTGCCAGAGCACAAATCTGACGGAACTGATGAATCCATGTGGCCAAAGCGCGAGCTTTTCTGACTTAGTTTATCTTAAATCTATTTTTTTTGTCACGTGGTGCTCTGGCTTCTTAACAAATCTATATAAATCCTAAATTTGATTGAACAAGTATGAAAAATACATGTAATTAAAAAAAATTGCAGGCACTGCTGATGTTCATTCAAGGCATTGCTATATAATATCTCATCACTTTAAATCAGAATAAGTTGGCATGGGCTTGATGTGAAACACGAGGTAGAGGATCATTAGGTGAAGGTGGAAGTGGGGAGGGCGTTATTTCTCTATTATTTTCAGGTGATTCCAGTGGGCAACACTGGACTCGGTCTAATTTTAAAATACGAAAGTAAAGCAGTTCGACACTTGGATTATTATCTCACTTAAAGAAAAGTGCTTGGGGCAAAAAAAAGAAAAGGAATACGTTGCCCAGATACTCATAACAACTACGGATATAATATACTCTGTGTTTTTTTTTATGGGTGTATTGCGAACGCAAGCAAAATGGATACATTTTTCTAACGTCCTTATAAGGTATTTTGTCTGGTTTTCCTTTTAATACAAGGCTGTTTAATAAAACATGCTCGGGTTTCTGCTAGTCTTATCTCCGACTAGAAACCGGTTGCCAACGATTGCATCATTCCTTTCATGTGACTCCCTTACGCCCCAAATTCGTCCTGCCCGTCTTAGGACTGCATCACAGCTTTCTGTTCACACAAACTCCTCGCAGCGCCACAACCAGCACAGCCCTGCTAAGCCCGCCCCTCCGCGCTAGCTCTCGCGCTCATTGGATGTCTCTAAGCAAAAGTGTTTCATTCCTCCTCCGCGATTGGACGGCGTCGGCGCCAATCAGCGCTGAGCGCGGCTAATCTGGGCTAGGTTGCGCTCGAAGCCCCGCCCCTAGCGGGGGTTGGTTGACGTCGTGTATAAAAGTCCGCGGGAGTTTCCGAAATTCACACTCGGTGACTTCAACTGAACAATGGTTAACATGAGCTATCAGCCACCTCAACAGAAATACATACATACCCCGAGTCCAAGAGAGACCAGAAAGCGACATAATAAAAGAAAAAGGGTGAGTGCCTTTCTTAATCCGTCCTTCTTTTCTCTCCTGTAGCGCGTTTCGTTTTTTGGTCAACTTTCTTTGCCCCTCTGCTCCTCGCGGCGCTGCTTCTCTTCCCTTTGGAAAACAAGAGCGCTCATGTTTTGGCAGCTCTCCCGCGGCTGTTTTTGGAGCACAGTTGCCCTTCTCGGCTCTAATCTGACAGGACTTTCTATAGACCACCTCTCATTTCTTACTGAACGGAAAAGAGGAGAAGCAGATGAACGACACGACTCGCTGTTATATGTGGTTTTAATTCTGACGACTTAGTTTTTCAATCTTAGTTGAAGTTTTACATCGATGTGTGTCAGCTGTCAGTTCATCAAATCTCACGACATTTCTAAACAACTTCTCTTCGCCTCACCAATTTATATACCTGCATTTTAAGTCTCATTCGGTGCTCGTGGTATATTTTTATTTTTAACGGATTCTAACATTTTTAAGAAAACCAATTTAGCTTAATTAAACTTTTTAATTAATTATAAAAGTCTAAACTTCTTACACTGTTTTGGGAAATCAGGGAGCCGTTTTGTTATTAATTGCCTTTTTTCTTTTCTCCTTTTGTTTCCTCCGTCCTGTACTTTGCTTCCATGACGTAATTGGCTGGCTTTCAGTTTATTTAACCATTGTCCAGCTCGGCAGGGACTTTTACATTCATTCATTCAAGGTTTTTCCTCAGGGTTTTTTTATTCTACTCCGTCTATAAGTCTTTGAAGTCATCCCGTTCAGCTGTCATTTCGGTTCACGGCTGTTATTCATAATGTCTTGGGAGCTTTTATTCGCTCCTCAAGTTCGCCGTAATTCGCTGTAGTCCAGCCTGGAGAGGCTGTTTCACAAACACTGGGTTATTACACAACCTCTCACAACTTCTTCATTTTCACTTGTTTTCAGTGGATTTGTGATTTATCTCCGTTTTAAGAGCAGAGAAATTCAAGAAACTGGGCCCACGTGTAAAAGAGTATTTTTCAAAATATGTATATTTTAATCTTTACTTCTTTCCGAAAAGGACAGACCGTGTTTGTGATGATATTGAATCAGATGAGCGCACTGGCAGCAGCCCTGTATCGGAAGTCGTTCGGATGGGACGAGCTGTTTTGAAAGCTGTTCGTCTGTGCTGTCAGACCCCCACAGGGGGGCGCCACTGGGCATCAGATGCGCCTTTTGTTTACATAAAAACCCATTGACCTCAATTTTGCTTTATTATTCTTAAACTAAACAATCAATAAGCCTCAATGATTTACCCATGGGACATTTTCAACATGTTTAACTCGGTTACACATTGTCTTTTCCTCCAGCAAAGTGTCACTTATTTTTTACACAGGTGGAATAATTTTGTGTTTGAAGACACAATTAATCTTGTGGTGTTTTAGGAGAGAACTCTAGATTGGACTTTATTAATTTTTTTCATTTTTGTAAAGTGTCTTTTCTAAAGAATATTAATATTTGACACTCAATTTTCTTTTGCACACTACAGTAACTGTTTTTATCACTATTTTACAGAATTTCTGGGACAAAATATCGCCAACAACACACAACCACACTTGATTAAGAAGAAACGCTTTTAAGGTGAGCATATGCTTTTTTTTTAGTTTCTTGTTTATTTGTTTTTTGTATTATTATGAACATTTTCTTACTAAACAAATAGTTTCTATCAAAGCAGTTACAACTTTAGGTGAGATATATTTACCAAATCTGAGCAAATGAGAATTTAATGCTTGTGTTTTTACTCTTGATGGAGTTGGTATAGAATATTACTCTTAATGTCCAGCTGTAACGTCTAGCATGTGCATGCAGCTTGTGGTGTGGAATGGCTTCAGTTGGACAGCTGTGCTTTCTGCAGTAACTCCCTCTGGCCACTGAGTGTCCTTGTAGCACCAAACGCCTTAATCTGTCAATCTTGATCTCGGCGAGGATGGGTCACTGCAATTTCGATATTCTTCCACTACATCTTTGCCGCTAGTCACACTCAGTACCGTACTGTATGTGAAGTTTTTTTTGGTGGAGACTCCCGAGACACCTTGTTCACGCTGAGACCTAGCAACAGCATTTGGATACTTTTATCCCTGCCTTCCAAAATTTTATTATTTTATTTATTTTTTTATCTGGGCCAGGTCTGCTGTGCTGGGTGTGGAAGCATATCGAATCGTGTCTGTGCGTTAGCGGCTGATTGGTGAGGATGACTGCGGAGTGGCTGTACCCCCCTGGCGTAGGGCCGCTGTGTGGTGCAGAGTTGGAGGCGTGGTATGAGGACCTGCAGGATATACTGGGCTCCGACGCAGGTGGGGCCAAGCACACACGCGCCCCGCCCTGCGCCGAGGTCAGTCACGCCGAACGCACCGTCTTGCCACATTTCTGCTCTTCTGTCTCCAAATGTTACGCTCTCCCTCCTTCTTTTTGTCCTCCGTAAATGCATTTGACGCTTTTGACAACCTGCTTTTCTCAGCCGTCAACCACTGTTCCCTTTTAGGGGCATTTGAAGAGGAATCACCTGGTCAGAGATAATATTTGATAGAGTTAAATTTTACCCCAAATGCACCCTTGGAGGGAACAGTGCTGTGGAATGGAATTTTGAAATGAATTCATATCTCTGTCAGTAGATGACCTCTTCTCATGTCAGCTTGTTTGTTTCTGCTCTGTCCTGTTTGCAGAAGGAGCCGGAGTTCCTGGACGTTCTGGAGAGCTGCTCTCTCACCTGGCTGACGGAAGGGCAGGTGTGGGGGGAGGGGGTGCAGCGTGTGATGGAGGAGCAGCCGCCGCCGCTCCCTGGCCACCCCCCGGCCTCCTGCCTCAGCCCCCCGCCTCAGGAGGAGCGGCGTGGGGCAGGAGAAGCGGGGAGCTCCGGTAGCGGTGGAGATCTGCTGCCTCCGGAGTTCTTCGAGCTCTTGAGCGAGGGTGGAGTCGGGCTGGTGGAAACCGGGGCAGTAATGGTGACCAGCGGCTATCATCATCACCACCAGCACCCCCCACACCCCCCGCCCGCCTCTCCGGCCGCCAGCGAGGAGGACCTGCCCACCGTTCCCGACTCATCGTCCTGTTCCTCCTCATCCTCGGCCTCGGAGTCGCCTTCTCTCAACTGCTCACCTCCGTCCTCCCCACCTACCCTCTCTTCACCTGCCTCTGCCTCGTCCGCCTCCTCCCAGCGCCTGGGCAAGCGGAAGAGGGGGAGCGCCCTGGCCTCACCTCCCTCGGGGAAGAAGAGCCGGAAGGAGAGGGAGCAGGAGAACGAGAGGAAGGTGCAGGAGCTGACAGACCAGAACGAGCGGCTGAAGGCGGAGATCGAGCGGCTCGGGGAGGAGGTGCAGCGGACGCGCCGAGCGCTCATTGAGAGGCTCGTTAACACCAGGAAGTGAGGGATGGGAAGCCAGAGAGAGATTAGATTGAAAAGAAGGAAAGAATAACTAGTAACATGTCCTGTGGTAACCATGAAATGCACATTTAGAAAGAAGAGAGAAAGATAGAGGAAAAAGACATGTGGGAACTGGGGGAGAGAGGGATTCATTAAGAGTCTCCCCTAAGAATGGAAGAGCGAGAGAGAAAGCGTGTTGAGGAAGTCAGATTTAGCCATAGAAAGATACGTGGACCCCAGATTTGGAGTCAGAAGAAGACTCAACTTCAGGCACCTTATTTGTAAATTAATAAACGTTTTGCTACGCAAGTACCTGACTGTAGGTTTATCATCTTTCCTTAAACATTACAGCTGCAACACATTGCTCGTGGACTCGAATGAGGACTGTAGAAGTATGTGTAATAAGACACAGACAGCTTATAAGATGGTAATAGACTCCTGGGGTGGGTGTAACTGGCAAGTACAGCTATGATGAGGTTTTGCCCAACCTCTAAAAACGGAGCGTGTACTATTTGTCTGTTTACCCTTAATAGAAAAAACGGATTTTTAGAAGTGTAAAATGGTTAGAAGTGAGGATTCCAGGTGCATTTCATTGTAACCCATTTACAGATGCAGTTCAACATCTTTTTATATCATTCATAAATAAAGGGCTTATAAACACAATATAAATATTACAAAGCCACGCCTAGTTTAGAGATTAACAGCTCAGGAATGTTTTTGAGAGCGATTGCGTTTGTGATATTTGTTTCTTTGGTTTTTTTTTTATTTTCTGAAGCTCAGCTCAAGCCAAGGCCTCTAAGCGTATAAGTGTGGGAAAAGGCGAGAAATGTGGTTGGGTGTAGTACTCATTTTGTTTTCACTAATTTTCTTAATCTTTCTTTTTTAATAGAATTAGCTGTTTACAATGTGCAGTTCAGCCCAATCCACACTTATTTTTCTATTTTATCTGCCTATGTAAATCTTTTATCATTATATATAATCATTTCTCATACTGTAGCATTGTAGTATTGTGTAACAATTTACAATATGCATGCATGCCAAATTGATGTATTTACATAGTCAAACAGTTAGAATATCATTTTGTATTTACTTATTGTATTGTACACATTTACTAATAAAATTTTCAACAAAATAAATGAGTTTGAGTCTATTTTATTACCAGTTAATTTTATATATATATATATATTTTTATATTATATAAGGTGCACACACAACATTTAAAGAATGAGTCTGGCTACAAATGCATATGTTTTATTGAATTTTTAAAAAGATTGAGACCCGTACAGCACTTTAACAGAGTGATTAAATATTGGCTATATGAAATATTGGAGTATATGGAGATAACCAGAAGGGACTGCTTTACTACACATGTGGTGGTTTTTATTACAGCTGTAGCTGTACGGTGTACTAAAATAGCCTCCACAGCTCTCTGTAAAGGCTGGCTACGGCTTCATTCTCCCTCCTGAGCGCACTGATCCCGCTTATTGCAAATATCCCTGCACTGTGTACCACCTCCTAAACGCCCAAAGGATGAAATCCTCACTCCTGCTGCGTTTCTCTCATCACTTCTTCTTGCCTTTCTGAGGGGAGGGTTCAGGGTTTTTCCCTTCAGCCAAAGCGAGCTCCTTCTTCAGCTCGAGGAGTTTGGTGACCTCTGCAGTAATCACTGACTTCTCTGCCTTCTGAGCCTTCAGAGCACGCACTTTATCACCCTGAAATATAAACAAATATAGAATATTAAATATAACAGCCAAAAAAAAAAAAACCCTACAAGGCAGTGTCCTAAGAAAACCTTGTACCACCAAACGGTGCCTTTGTAGGAGAAAAAACAAAATACACACATAAAAGACAATACAAACACAGTAAAAAATACATAACCCAAAAAGAAAGAAAGCATGACAAAGTCAGATTTAGCCATAGGAAGATAAGCGGACCCCAGATTTAAAGCTATTAGAAGCCTCAGTATAAAACACCTTATTTGTAATTGAACAAATGTTTTGTTACGCAAGTAACTGACAAAAAATTGAGCTCAGAAATTTTCCTATTACAGAGATAATATATCTACGGACATCAAACTTATAACCAAACGTTCAAACTAATTTGGTCAACTATTTAGAGAGAACATCTTCAATGGCAACGGATAATAGCGAGCAATTATCCGACCAAACCTCTATTACTCCAAATATGATCCGAGTAGGCTGAGAACTGCTATTCATTTTTTTATATTGTGTCCTGTGTTGAAGAAGACGAGGTAATGATGATTGGATTGTTTTAATTTGACATTTTGCTTGCAAATGTTCTGACCTGTTCTGCCACTGCAGCAGCCAGCTGTTTGGCTCTCTCTGGGTCGGCTGCGCTCACACTGGCATTAACGGCGGGTGCCGCAGCGGCGGGAGGTTTGGGCTGTGCTGAGTTCACCGTGCTGCTGGGGACCTGACCAAGACAAAAACCTGCATGTTACACCTCAAAAGTCTTGCACTTCTTTTTTTAAGAGAAATGTAAATTGTTAAGAAAAACGAATGCACACATCAACACTCCAGCCAACAACTCAAACAGGGATGAGGGACCGTGGTTGAAACAAAATGAAAATAATTGCAATGAAAAATAATTTTACAAGAGCAAACAATTAGTAATCCTCAGGAGAAAAAAAATCCACAAACATGCAGACATTTTAGTAAACATTAGTGCTTGTCAGGGCTGTGAAATTGCCATTCCTTTCTCTTATGCTAATGAAAAGGCCAATCTGCACAGATGGCAGTCCGTATTTTAGATGAACTTTTTTTCTGCTACATGCCCAGAGGCAAACTGTATTCCGAGTTGAGAAAAAAAAAATAATAAGGTAACACAGTGACTGACAGTACTGGGCTTTGATCCCAGCGCTGCAACGGACTGAATACAGACGTCGCCGCTAGATCAATTTCATGCTTGGCGCATAAGTGGAGGTGGCAGCGCTGAGACACAAAAGCACGCAACAGTTGCAGTCAGATCTACCTTTCCTGTAGGGGTCTCCTCGTCCGGCTGAAACGAAGGTTCAAGTAAAGAGAAATAAGAGAAGGACTACATTAAAGCTCCGAGAAAGAATTTACTGGAAAAGCTGCGTGGCTGCCCCAGGACTAGCTCTGAAACATACTAACAGAGTAAATGTAAACGTGTGCACTGTTGTTTGAAGGCTCTTTGTTGTTGCTGTGGTGAAAAAAAACTGATGAGTCCTGACTGGAGCTTGACATAGCACCCTGTCTCCCATTTTGAAAAAAAAAAAAATAAAAAATGTTGCAACAGGTGTGTCTGGAGCTTGTTGTTCCACCCCGCAATGATGTAACATCCAGACACCACGTCCTGCTTGAGGACCTGTCACCATATTATGACTCTTCATCAAAACGAACGACTAATCACCCCCTTTCAACAAATGACACTGAAGGAAATCTGCACTTTCCCGTGAATTTAAAACCAAGTGGGAGATTTTTAACACACCTGCTGTCCTCCGAACCTCTTCCTCAGAGCCTCGATCAGCTCAGACTCCAGCTTCTGGAACAACGGACTGACCTGGAGTGGGGGGGGGGCGTGGGAAAAGACCAAGTTGATATTTTACAGATCTATACATTTGGGGTTAATTCACTAGTAAATTAGCTGTGTATTCAATCCTGCTACATGTTATAACATAGTAGTTACAAGTCCATTACACAATCATTACCGTGCCAATTCGGTGGCCGGCAGAGAGGCTGCAGAAGAAGCCTCCGTCAGCACACAGCATAGCGCTGGCACAGTGCGCTGGAGCCTGCAGCTGGTCACGGATTGTCTGGCTGACTGTGGGCATGTATGGCTCCAGCATGGCTGAGAGGAGACACGCTACATTCACCGACACACCAGTCACCGTGCCTGCACGTTTCCTACAAGTGCACACAGACGCAGGTCAAATGTTATGAATTCCAGATCTGCCTCACTCTCAAAACTAAAGAATTAAATTAGAGAATATTCCATAAAAATGTATCTATTAATTTCTTAATGTATTTATTTATTATTAATTATTGGGGTTAATTCCTACTCAAACACTGCGTTAAACAGCTGTGTCCATTTTTTTTTAAAATGTATCAGTCCTGTGACCCGTTCCTTGACTAAAGTGACCCAGGCTGCAGTCACACTGGCTGGTCCCACAACACGGCTGATCACGTTCACTTGCCTGTCGTCGTCTCCTCCTTTGATCTTCTTCCAGGGTTCGTTAACCTGGATATACTGGTTGCCATGGCGAGAGATGTTGAGGATGCACTTTAGGGCATCACGGATCCTGGCAACAACCAATAAGAAACGAGCAGACAGATATTTATGGTAAGCATTATGAAATAAGCTTAACCAAAATCTATTTCCATATTTATAAACTCTCCTCCAGCCAAAATATTATTACCATTTCCCATGTTTTTTTCTTTTTAATCTATTTGACCTTTGACCTTTCAGAAGACATCATGTAATTATGTACAATATACCATAAGGTCTGTATTTTTTATAAATGTTACCCATTTAATGCTTTTAGAATGGCATTTGTCCAGGAAAAACAGCCACAAGAATCTCTTGTAATAATGACAAATACATTAGTAACACTACATGACCTACGCTGCAGCCGAGCCACAGCAACAGAAAATAAATGCTTCATTTTTGGCCCAGAAACACAAACATCGTTTAAAAACTACATACAACCATGAAGTACAACTTCATCACATATTTAAGGATTGTCTTTTCTTTTAACAATGAAACGAGGCCAATAAAACACTTCAAATAAAAAACCTAACAATGTAATGAGAGTAGCCAAATATTTGAGAGCAAAAAATCTGTTCTACATTATATATGCTTGTCTGCATTCATAAATAATGTGTGTGTCTGTTTATCTGTGTATACACAAACACACACACACACACATTGTTTAAAACTCCATATACAATTACAATTATTGCAAATAAGTATTAATAGTAAAAACAAACAAGTATTTTTTTTAGAAAGGTAGTATATAAAATCACTTATTACATTTTTTATTGTAAAATCACTGTTTGATTCTACTAAAATATACAAGAATCAGTATTTTTAACTATTTAAATTTAGTTTTAGAAATCAGAGTATTTGAACTCAAATACTACAAATAGTATAAGATGAATAACAAATAAATATTAAGAAATTAATATTACTGAATTGTGCCTGAGAATGCTCTACTCAGATGTATCCTCAGTGCTCATATTACCCCTGATAATACTTCTGCTTTTAGGCATAACACATTTTTAACAATTCAGTCTTTCCTCATATTTTATGTTTGGAAGGCAAAATCTTCAAACAATATCTTATAGCTGTCTTATTTAAAGCTGTCATATTTCCAGACATGATTAAAACACACATATCTGTTTTTCAAACATTCAATACATGACATTGCTTATTACTTGTCATGTCAAATCCAGCATTACAGCAGAAAAATTACTATAAGGCAAAAATTGGCCATAAGGCAGTTTGTTGATTGCCTTGTACATCAACAGTTATTATAATTAATGTAACTGAAATGATGGATCAGCTCTGAACTCTAGCCAGTGTAATTATTTTAACACTTAAAGAAATCAGTTTCTGCCTTTCATACATTAGTGTTAATGAACTAAGAATACTGAATTAAAGTGCCACAACACTGGCAATTCTTAGTTTCAGAGATCTAAGCTCTTAACTATGCAAAGCCATAATAAAACATAATATAAATATATAAACCTAAAATTCTACAACTGAAAATAACTGACTACGTGTGTGTGTATTTATATATATGTATATATATGTACACACACACATACACACACACACACACACACACACACACATTTAATGTATGCAGCCATGGAAAATTATACAAAACGCTCATATTTGAATATCACAATAAGCCAATGTGGTGAACAACGTAACCAGCAGTGAGTCAGTAATGTGCATTATTTTCAACCTGGACTGTGATGCTTCAAAGAGACATTTTTAAACATGCTCATGGTCAGGGATGCCAATCATTCATGATTTAGATATAAAAATTATCTAAATTTCACCTGTCAGTTATGGACTCGGCTGACCTTAAAAAAGTACTGCCTCCAAACTACAATTCTATCCTAATTTTGACTGTTGTGAAAC